CGGCAGCCCCCCCCTCCCGGTTGGTCTGCGATGGGCGGGGCCTCGGGCGGGCGGCCGCGCACCGGCCTGCTGGGGTGGGGGGCGCCGCCTCTGGGGGTCTCCAGCGTGTGGTTTCTGGGTGCAGCAGGGAGGAGGCGTGAAGTCCGCGTTCTTCAGCTTTCTCCGGATCCGGTTGGCCAGAGGGGCCGGACCTCGCGACATTGCCACTCCCCTTCGCCGCCCCTCTCCCCGAGTTTCCGCCTCCTCAGTAAGTGAGGCGGGGCCCGGGAAAGCCGCGGTCGGTCTGGCGGGGAGTCCGGGTGCCCGGGTCTGTCCCGCCCCGTGTCTCCCTCCGTGGGGTTGGTGGAGTCCCTGCTGACTGGGAGCTGTGGCGTGTGAGGACTGAACTCTTGGGCGCGCGAGTCAGGGGCCAGAGCGTGTTGGCCCCGCTAGGCTCCATGCAGCGTGGATGGTACCGTGCAACCATGGGAGTCGGAACGTGGCCACCACTCTGCACTCTCCTCGTGGCTGTAATTATTGGCGCGAGGCGCCCAAAGCCCTTTGGGAAGGTTCTTGACGGCCGAGCGCGGTGCTGCTCGCGCTCCTGGCCACGCTTCCACCGCGCTGACGGGCGAGGGGAGGGGCGGAGACTAGGAAGGTGGCCGGGGACAACCTTTCCTGGAGTTCCCTTGATTTTCAGGTACCGTGGCTGTTCGGGCCGGGCCTTGAGTCACTGGGGTGCTGTGCAAGCTCGGCGACGTTTCAGGAGCCTTAGGACTTCAAACTCAGCCACGAGGAGACAAATGGAAGCTCTTACCGAGATTTATAAAAAGGAAGGATTCCTGCTCGCAAAACTGAACCGTTTATAAAATACGGGGCCTTTGAGAAAAACTCAAGAGGCTGAGTATAATACGTCCTAACTCTTACATTTTAAAAATGTGTTCATTGTGCAGCTAGTTGTGCGTGAGCTTGATTTCACAGAGAAATAGGCTGCTATTTAAGTAATTTTAGGTATTCTTGGAAAGTTTTCCTTGTCTGGTTTTATGCAATTCTGTTAAACGATCTAGACTACATTGCATCCCACCTGACAGCGTTCTTCTGTTTTGAATTAGACACTAGGGTGGAGTTAAGTCCAGCATTCTGGGGAGTTGTGCATGGGACATTTATGGATTATGAATGCCAAGCCACATTAAACTGGGTGGCGTGCTAGAGAAATGCCTTACTAAGGGAAGTCATCTCATCGTCTCTGAGCAGGCTATGAGCTGTTAAAGGAAATAAGCACGCTGAATATCTGAGTAATCCCTGTATTGTCAGGGGTCTTGGATGAAGTGCCCGTGGGGCTGAGCGTTTGGCATCCTGTGCTCTACTTCTGTAAAGTTAAGTCCCCTGCCTTTTCAGCAGAGTTCCTTGCCCTTAAATAATGTGTTGTCTAGTTGGTGAGCTAGGGTCAGAAGTCTCCTGTAGACTTTAAAATTTCAAGTAAGGATCTAGTTATACTAGTGGTTGGTATCGCTTAAAATGAGAAATCCTGTAAATGTATGTTGATAATTTTACTTCGCATCAAAGACTCGAGATAGATTGACCTTTTATCATTAAGAAGGTTTTAATATAATACTTCATCTTAGGAGTAAGCTTTTCTTTCTTTTTTTAAATTATTGGGGCTCGTACAATTCTTATCACAGTCCATACATACATCCATTGTGTCACACACATATGTACATTTGTTGCCCTCATCATTCTCAAAACATCTGCCTTCTACTTTAGCCCTTAATATCAGTTGCTCATTTTCCCCCTCCCTCCCCACTACCCGTTCCCAAGCTTTTCTTTTTTACTAAGTAATAAGCTGCTTGACAAAGCATGGTCCTGTTTATACTGTGAGTGCAAAAAGGTGTAAGGTCAGAGAGCTGTGCAGGACAGATCTCAGTGCTGGTGATACTAGGTTGGATTTAGAAAGTTGCGTCCACAGCATTCGGCAGCTGTAAGTAGTGCTTTTCAATGCTGTCTCACGCTTCTGGGAAGCTCCACCAGGCAAGAGTTTAAGCTTTACTTTTTGTACGTTCAGTGGGAAGAAATAGTGCTTTTTCAGGCTGTACCCTGCTTCCTCCCCTTGAGTAGTGAACTTGTATTTAAGTTCTCATTGTGCCTCACACTATACATTTATTATTCCATATAATCTGTATGAGCACCCTCTGAGGGGAGTTGGTATGAAATCCACATTTTACAGATGAGGAAATAGTAGCACAGAGAAGTTAGACATATGCTGAGTAGCAAATCAAGGATCTGAGTCCAGGCAGTCAGGTGACCAGAGTCCACGTTCTTAATGCTACACTTTGTTTTCAGTCTAGTGAAAGGAGCCCTGGTGGCAAGCTTAGCAGTTCGAAACCACACACCAATTCTTGGGAGAAAAATGAAACTACTCCTGTGAAGAGTTAAGACATGGAAACCCACCGGGACGTCCTACCCAGTTCCACAGGGTTACATTGAGTCGGGAATTGACTCTGGCAGTGAGTTTGGTTTTTGAGTTTGGGGCAGCTAACAGTGAAGGATCAGTGCAGCTTTAAGAGGAAAGATTGGGGTGCCAATTCTGAAGATGAATTGAGTCTTTATTGACCACCTTAAATGGCTTTGGGCTGACACTAGAAGAGTCTTTGGTCCCCAAGAAGTTTACATTCTTATAAGGAAAGGCCGGTGAACACATGATTTTATAGCAAATCAGTGTGGGTTGGGTGCCATAAAAATACAAAGTGCTGTAAGGAATTCAAAGGATAACTCACCTGTAAGTGGAGATAGAGGGGCACTGATTGAGAAGCTGGAGGGTGCTATCTGAATTGTAGATCCAGATGAAGTGAGAAGTGAGATCTCTCTCAGTCCTTCCAGAAGGGCTTTAGAACGTTTGTTAGGATAGGCGGCTTGGTGCTGAAATTGGAATGTGAACTGAAGTCTCTCATGTTTGAGTTGTGTTCGCCCTAGTTTGCAGACCTGAACCCCCTACCTTTGGAAGGTATTTAAGACAAGGGTTTGGCATATGTGTTACTGTGATCTGTCAAACTCTGGTGTATTAATATTGTCAGTTAGTGTTTTGTAAAACTGCTATTCTTTCCCATACCTTCTTGCTTCTGCTCACTTAAAAAAGTGAGAGGAGGAGGAGTAGTTTAGGGTTTTTCTTTTTCCTTATTGCAGTTTAAGTACATAATTGTAGACATTTTGCATTTCTTGTGCAAAACAGTCGAATAATGTAACCCATCCAACTTGTGAATTGGGGTTCTACTGATTGTATTCTTACTTTGGAAAAAAATAACTTGTCTGACACCCCGCCCCATGTGAGTTTTAATTGTTGTTCCGTTTTAAAAACATTTTTCTAAAAACCTTGGCTTCCTTGAAATATGTTTTGTGGGTCTCTTTCCTCAAAGACCAGACCCAGTGGGATTTGTTGTCTGTTAGAACCAGGTACACAGAGGTTTTTGTCCTCACCAGCGTTCTCCAGGGAGCACTGCACCACCAGGACAGTCTGACCTGTTTGGGATTTAATGCTCTTTAAAGTTAGCTAGCTACACAGGACAGTGTTGATGCAGTAGGTGAGGGTTAGGAAGATTGTAAACGGAATTCTAATGGCATTTTGAAGTTTAGTTCCAATTGGCTTTAAAGTACTTAAGTGTTTATCGGTGGCAATTCCCAGCAGATACGCTTTTTTTTTAAAGCCTTTTTTATTTTCCTCTTTCATTTCCTCCTCCCTTCTGTATCTGGATGTTATTCGTGTTTACTATCAGTGTCATGACCAGGACCCTTCCTCCACCAATCCTTACCAATCAAGTCTGTTGCTGGCTAGTGAGGGATCTACAGTCCCGAATTCATGTCCCTGTGACTCTTGTCAGACTTAAGGTGTACTCTTAAGATCGTCACGTCCTGTTTCCTAATACTTGTATTCCTTTGCATACCTTGTTTGCTGCTTAAAAAAGTAAGGAGGACGGGGAGCATTTTAGGGAGCCCTTGAGGCACACTGGTTACGCGCAGCCCGAAAGTCGGCAGTGCAGAACCACCAGCTCCACAGAGAAAGACAGGGATTTCTATCCCGTAAAGAGTTAATGTGAGAGGTTTTTATTTGGTTCCACAGCTAATTTGGGGGTACAGCCTATTTTCTGTTGTTGCACTTGTGCAACCATTCATGTATCTTATGTCAGGGATCTGGTTGTACTTGAGGCCACCCCTAAATGCCCTCCCTGTATTACCTTCCTAAAATCCCTACAATGAATGCTTTGCCTTCTGTGGGTTTGTACCTGCAATAAACTCTTTGATAGTGTGAAAGGGTTTGCATACTTTGTTGCCGTAATTGATGAGGTTCAAGGAGGGGAATTGATTCCCTTTTGCTATAATAGATTATCAGGCTTTTGTTACACTTTTGCTCTGAGTCTCTTCCATGCATTTGTCACTGGGACAGCACAACTTTCAGGAAGATTTGGTGCCTTTTTCCAAGAATGCCACTATACTCCTTGAAATTAGTTAAAATTATTTTAAAAGCTAAAAGGTGATTTCCGCATGGGAGCATCTACTGGTAATAAATGTGTTAATTTTGCTTTCACCCCCTGTTTGGTGGATTTTTGGCATACTTCCAAACCCAGTTTGTATTTGTTTTCTCAAATAAGCCTTCTGATG